ATACCTTCGAATAGACTGTACGATCTTCTTCCTCAATGCCTTCGAACAAGAGTACACGCTTGTCCTTACTCGGTTTCTTCCTTGTTTTCAGTTTCGCCTTCTTGTTGTGCTGTTTGTGATAACCCAAGGTCGACGATGATGATTATCACTACCCAAATGATCGGAATACTCTACATCGTGTTATTTGAATTTTAGGATATCAATTTTCAAATTAACCCTTCATCGTCTTTAGAATACTTGAAATTAATTTTACTATTCATTTAAGTTTGAAAAATTATTCAACTTCTCTTAAAATGTGATTCTAAACACATATTTTGGCTTAGAGGTTGTTCTCGCATTCTCGTAAATCACAGGGGTTCTCGTTTGAACCTCCACACACACACACACACACAGATATATATATATATATATATATGTGTGTGTGTGTGTGTGTGTGTGTGTGTGTATACATACATTCTCCATGTGCAACTTGTTCAAGAAAAAAACAAAGGAAAGGCTTCCGGCATTTTATATGAAACTTCAACTCCATTCACATGTAGGGTATGTATTGGATGTTTATGGTTTGTCATTTTTATGAGTTGGTGCACAACTGATCTTTTCTTATTAGCCCCTATTTGATCTAAGTTTATATTACAAAACAGACAATCAAAATAACTACAAATGCTGTTCGGTTCATCATGAATGTTTTTGTTTGTGTTTGTGTTTGTGTTTGTGTTTGTGTTTGTGTTTGTGTGATGGGAATGCTAGCAAGTGTTTGGTCGTTGCTCAAGCAAGGGTATAATGGTGGGTTCATGGTTTTATTGCATTTCTTTTCTCATCATTGATGTTGAAGCCAATAGGGTAGTTATCTACATGATTCCAGTAGCCATAGATAACCCGTTCATATCTCATTCTTTCTGTTTGTTATATTACCGTGATTAGTTGTTTGTGTTTTCTTCAGAACCATATTCAGGGTGCTTGCTATGAACCAGACAATTAGAGATTCACCTATGTGCCTCATTTGACTTACAGTCATCTTCTAGTTATGTTTCTTTCTTTTTTTCCTCTGCCACCTATGAAATACGTAACAGTTGCCTTCCACAAGTTTTCTTTAAGTAGGTTGTTCGAGGTAGATTTTTTTTTTTTGAAATTATTAATCGAGTGAATTGTATTTTTGGTCCTTCATGAATAGTTGCTTTATGGCTTTCGTCCCTTGGAAACATAAAGCACATTTTTGGTCCAAAAGTTGTGTTTTTCACGGCATTTATGAGCGGGAACAAGTTTGGGTGAGAAACATAACTTTTGAACCAAAAATTTACTTTACGTGTGGGAGGGACGAAAATCAAAGAATAGATATTTACAAAGGACCAAAAACGTAAATCACTCTTATTAGTTACAAGTAAAGACAAAATGATATTTTTGTTTTTGGTATAGAAATTTGATTATCTGAATCGGGTCGGTTTTAAACCCAACAAGACCATTTCTTGTCACCATGTGTGGTTCAACTCTCAATATTATGTGAATTTTTTTTTTATATTCCAAAAATGCATAATCTAATATTTAGTTACCAAATTAAATTAAAATAAAACCTTTCTTTTACCATCCAAAATATTTTTTTAATATTTAAATTGAATACATATTTTGACTTTGTCCTTGATTGACTTTTCTCTCCCTTCCTTATTTTTCTCTTCTTTTATTAAACTTTCACCAGCCATTTTTGACCAATATTCGCATTTTTAATCTATTTCTTGTATAAAATGAGTTTGACTAAGCGCTCATTTACCAAAGGTTTTTTCGGATAAGTGTTTACCTAACTATATTACTTTATCGGATGAATATGATAAAGACCAAAAATCTTACCCGGTAAGAACGAGGTAATGACCGAGAGTCTTATCCGGTAAATGAGAGCAATGACTTTTATCATGATCAGCTCTTATCGAATAAATTGTTGCATAAAAAGTCTTTTTTGTTGACTATAATCTTACCAAATAGTGTTGAATTTTACTGCTAAATGCTTACCGGATAAATATTTAATAAACTGCCCTTAAATCTTAGTCAAAGGTTAAAAACTTTGAAAGAAAATTATATTAAATTAATGGTTTTTTATTTTGGATATTATAATAGTATTTATATTATTAAAATATAGAATTTTAAATTAAAAAGAAAATAGAATACTTGTTTTTATCTAACTTGTTTATTTAAATTTATTATTAAATTGAAGATAATTTTGTTAACGATTTTAATTTTTTTTAATAAAATAAATAAAAAAGAAGGCGTGAATTACAATCGCTTAAATTTATCGCTGGTGGTTGCTAAGTAGATAGTCTAGACTGACGTGTGCTGTACATTCAACATTGGTCGTGCGATGATGTAGCGTTTGAATACCATGACGTAAGGTGGTCCCACCTTTGTATTCTAGAAGTGGTACTGTGGAATTACGTGTCAATTTCCTGTTTATTCAATAAATTTTTCGTTTTTATTTTCTTTTTCTTTATTTGGTTAATTTAAGCAACTGCAACTCACGCCTTCCTTTCGATTTAGTTTATTTTTAAAAAAATTAAAATTAAAGCATCTTTTTGTTAAACAAAATTATGTTGAATATAATAAAAAATTATAATAAACAAGGATTTTATTTTTATTAAATTTGATGTCCATGATTTTTTCAAATAATAAATTTTTTACCAATTTTATTTTATTTTTGTATTATATATATATACTACATTATAAAATATTTGACAAATTTTTTTAAAATTATACACAAATTACTGTTTATTGATGTATATCAATTAAAATTCAAGATTAAAAGTAATTATGTGTAAGTAAAACGTATTAAAGCTTCAGTTTTGAATTTGTATAACTAACTATAAATAAACATAATCAAAAGATAAACATCTCATTTTAAATATAAAAAATTTAAAATATAATTAGAATAATTGTTAGTTATAATAAAATACTTAATTATTATCTTTATAAAAAAATTATATTATTAAACGATAAATAAATTACGTTGTTACTAAATCTAAATTAAATTATAAATAAAATATTAAATTAAAGAAATTACACAAAAAACGAGAATTTTAAATTTTGATACTAATATCGATACTTTTCTTCCAAAATTTTATGATATATTTAAGTTTTATTTTATTTAAAAATAAAAATATTATTGTTTTATTAAAACCACTAAAAACCGTATTATACCGACAGAGACAAAAAATAAAATGAAATATTAAAATTAAGATATATCTTAGTGAATTATGTGAACATCTTTCTAATATGAATGGACGTATATGTGTGTGTGTGTATGTATATCAATAAATACACATTATATGAATAATATACGATAATGATGAACCAAAAGTGTAACTTGTTACAAAATTGATTGTGATTCACGTCTTTTTTAAATTATATTAAAAAATATTTTATCTATCCAATTACAAATGAAGTTTCTTAAATTAAATTATACATTAAATAAAATATTTTACTTAATTAAAAACTATTATTGATAAAAATACTTTTAAGTTAAAAAATCTCAATTTTAAAAAACCAAATAAACTAAATCAGCGTAAATTCATACACCTTTTAAAGTTGAATATTGAAATATACAAATAAAATATTAAAAGTTAATTACGTTTAACTTGAGATGTTAATATATAGTCACACAATAAATAATTAAAGTGATAACAAAATAAAAATAAAAATTATAAATCAAGATTAAAAAACACCGATATTTCACATAATTAAAAAACTATTGCTAAATTCTAAAAGAATAACTGGTAATTATATAACCAGCGATAAAGAAAACATTTGTTGTCCAAATATATAAAAAGTTACGGTATATTATTATTTTTTTCTCTTAAAAAATCATATAAAATCCTTTAAGTTAATATATATATTTAATGATACTTGGATTATCAAGTCAATTTAAATGTTGGTGGTGTATTCACAATTATTTGATCATTCATTTTAATAATGTCTCACAATTTTTTATTTAATATATATTTAAATTTAAGAAATTTGATTTATGATTGAATATATAACAATATTTTTCAATAAAACAAATTAGAAAAAGAGATGTGAATTCCATAAAAATTTAGTCTTTATATTTTATCAAAAGACTGATTAGTCCTTCAAAAATGAATATGATGACTCTTACCAAATAAATTTTACTAGGTTAAGAATATTTAACAATAATACATTTTAATAATCAGGAATGTTCTTCCATAAAATAGGTGAGAGTAATAATTCTTATCAATAAACGATTGGAAAACTTTCACCAAATATATTTTAATAAAAAAATTTGAAGGTGATATATAAAAAGAAAAAAAATTACTGAAAATACATTCTGGAAAGCTAACAAATTTGAAAAAAGGGGTATGCCGGTCTCCTTATTCTACCTTTTTTTAATCCTTCTCATATTTTGGGTTGTTATCGTTTACCAAACGTTTATCCAGATAAGTGTTTATCAAGTCATTTTATTTTACCGAATAAATGTGGCAAAGACCAAAAATCTTACCCAATAAAAACGAAGATAATAATTGAGAGTCTTACCCGGTAAGCAAAAACGATGACTCTTATCATAGTAAGTGCTTACCGGGTAAGCGTTTAGATAAACAGCCCCTTATTTTTTATTTTTTTTTATTTGTTATTTAAATGAAATAATATTTTAATTATATATATATATGTATATGTATATGTATGTTTTTTATGTATAAAATAAAGGCTTACAGAGAGAGGATTTTATGTATAAAATAAAGGCTTACAGAGAGAGGATCCAATTTAGAGAGTGTACATTAGTTCTCATAGATCCTTGTGCGTCGAGCATCTCCAGTGCATAGGTTGGAAAATGGTCTTACGTCATCATCACAACACAAACCCACTCTTTTAAATCTTCTTTCCATCTCGCCGGCCATTTTTCATTCAGGCAACCTTCTCATCTTTTATTTCGACAATTCTCATATCTCAGGTGGGCCCTTAGTGCTACTGTCAGAAGCAACCACGTCTAGTTGACTTGTGGCCTGATCATGGGGCGTCCAGAAGAAGAAGACGACGACGTATTCCTTGCACTCATCCAGGTGAATGTTACTAGTTTTCGTTTTCATCTCCTTCTGATCATGGAATTTTGATATGTCCAAATCCAAAAGGGGTTTAAATTTGTTAGTTTCCTTGACTTTGTTTTATGTATGTAGAGTGAGAGCAGGCTGTATACAGGAGATGGATCAGTCAACATTAAGGGACAACCTGTTTTGAAAAGCAATACTGGAAATTGGAAAGCATGCCCTTTCATACTTGGTACTAGCTCTCTCATGCTCTATGAAATTTTCTATGAAAACCAACTTCATGCTGTATTTTAATGGTGTTGAGTTGAAACAGGTAACGAGTGTTGTGAACGCCTAGCCTATTACGGGATATCGACTAATCTTGTGAGCTATCTCACCAAATACTTGCACGAAGGAAATGCCTCGGCTGCCAGACATGTCACAATGTGGCAAGGAACTTGTTACCTCACTCCCCTTCTCGGTGCTGTCTTGGCAGATGCATATTGGGGAAGATATTGGACAATCTCCATGTTCTCCGTTATATATTTCTTAGTAACGATCAATCTTTTAAACATAACATTCTTATTTCTTGTGTTTTCCGTTGTCTATACCATATGCTGAATATAACGAGGGTTAAATGACCTTTTGTTAAGTTACTGCTTACCCCTAGTTTGATTACTTTCTTGTGTTCTTCATCGTTTCTCCATAGGGAATGTGCACATTGACTCTTTCGGCATCAATCCCTTCTTTGAAGCCTGTTGAATGTGTGGATGTTATATGCCCTTCAGCTACCCCTTCTCAGTATGCATTTTTCTTTACTGGGCTTTACCTGATTGCACTTGGAACCGGAGGGATCAAACCATGTGTTTCGTCTTTTGGGGCTGATCAGTTTGATGACACGGATCCGAAAGAGAGGGTGAGTAAGGGATCCTTCTTCAATTGGTTTTATTTCTCAATCAACATCGGGGCCTTGGTCTCGGGTACTTTAATAGTTTGGATTCAAGACAACAGAGGATGGGACTTGGGGTTTGGCATTCCTGCATTCTTCATAGGGTTTGCTATCTTGAGTTTCTTTCTAGGAACACCTCTTTATAGATTCCAGAAACCAGGGGGGAGTCCTATTACAAGAATGTGCCAAGTTCTGGTTGCATCATTTCGCAAAAGGGATCTTCCGGTCCCTATTGATGGCTCTCTCCTGTTTGAAACTCGTGATAGTGTCTCGGCAATTGAGGGTAGTCGGAAACTCATGCATACTGACGAGCTAAAGTAATTTTCTTTACTTGGACATATATTAGGGGAGACAGGTGCAGATGAAAACCGTAAGTTTGAGAACATGGAAACCAGTTATTCATGCTTTATTCATGATGAATGTCTAGATATTGTTTGTATTCACAATGAAGATGCATGATATTGATAATTATTCATCATGAATAATAAGTACATGAAATAGTTGGTTTCTCGGGTTTTCAAAATATTTATGGTTCTTATTTGAACTTATCCCTTATCTCAGTTTCCTAAATTTCTTGTATATTGAATCGGTCTCTGTTCTGCACAGCTTTCTTCTCAATTTTTTCATTTCCCCTTTGCAGGTATCTTGATAAAGCTGCTGTGATATCATCTATTGGAACCGAAAATGGAAACTACTCCAATCCTTGGATGCTATGCACCGTAACACAGGTAGAAGAACTAAAAATCTTGATCCGGATGTTCCCAATCTGGGCAACGGGAATTGTTTTTGCTGCTGTTTTTGCCCAAATGTCAACGTTGTTTGTGGAGCAAGGGATGATGATGGACACGAGTATCGGGTCGTTCGCCATCCCCCCCGCTTCACTTGCGATTTTTGACGTCTTCAGTGTCATGATCTGGGTACCGGTTTATGACCAAATCATCGTACCGGTCACAAGGAAATTCACAGGTCAAGAAAGGGGGTTTTCTGAACTTCAACGAATGGGCATCGGTCTCTTTATCTCCATCTTTCCCATGGTGGCTGCAGCATTGGTGGAGATAAAGCGTCTAGACGTTGCAAAATCACTCGATTTGGTGAACCAAAACGTTCCAGTACCGATGAGCGTCTTCTGGCAAGTTCCTCAGTATTTCCTTTTAGGTGCTGCTGAAGTGTTTATGGTGGTGGGGCAGCTTGAATTTTTTTACGATCAATCACCGGATGCCATGCGGAGTTTGTGTAGCGCGCTTTCACTGTTGACAACTGCTTTGGGGAATTACTTGAGTTCTTTGATTTTGACAGCAGTGATGTGTATTACGGGCGGGGTCGGGAAGATAGGCTGGATACCAGATAACTTGAATGAAGGGCACCTGGATTACTTCTTCTGGCTTTTGGGGGGGCTTAGTTTCTTGAATATGGTGGTTTATGTGGTATGTGCCAAGGCATACAAGTCAAAGTCAGTTTCTTGATCATAATTCAGAAATTTGAGTTTCTATGCTTCATAATTTGTACCGTTTGTAAATGCTACAAATCAACCTGGGGCGATTCTCTATATACATTCATCAACGAAAAGTCCAAACAATGATGATTTCAGATTGCAATAATCAAACACCAACATTTCAACACAATACTTGATACCATTACAGAACTGTAGGTAGGTTTATTGAACACACAGACTTGACTGTCAAAAAACAGCACTGAAAAGCACACATACAGGTTTATTGAACACACAAACTTGACTGTCAAAAAACAGCACACATACAGGTTTATTGAACACACAGACTTGACTGTCAAAAAACAGCACTGAAAAGCACACATACTAAAAAAAACGACACTGAAAAAGCACGAAATGCGTTAGATTCACGCACAAACTCCTTTACTAGATTCGTTTAGGAAAGGATGTTTGACCTGCGTAGTGGCACTTCGACACCATCTCCACTCGCCTTCCTTCCTTCCTCCTTCAAACAAAGAACATGGAATCCTTGAGGTGATCCTCAAGATTGTAGAAGAACTGATCGAATGAAGAAGACCCACCAGACTCTAGTTCCATCGCCACTTCTTGAAACATCCGACCCCTGTACGCAACAAGATCCGCATAGTAAACCGGTGGGACCAACGACACGGGTTTCGTGCAACGTGCAAAGATGTAACAAAGATGGTATATCAGCTTCTGCATCTCATCAGATGAGAACCCGTTCTCATCCCAAATCACAGAGTAGTGAGTGGGTTTACTTGTTCCAATCCCTCCAAAATGGCTGCAAAGATAGAAATCAAACTCAGATGGATGGATTATGGTGGTGTCCACCACCGTTCCCGGCGGCACATTACCCGACTCCCTCCCATCTGGGCTTAGAAACAGACGAGTTGTGTGCCGTTTCTGGGCCACAACAAAGGTGACACACGGGCGGTAGTGTTCATCATAAATGGCTTTCTTCATATCAACCATCTCTTTGTTGAGAACCATATCGAATTGCCCGTCACTCACACCGTCACGAAAAACTACAATCTTGTTTGGTTTCACTCCGTTCTGCCGCGCATATGTATTCACCAGATCCAAACACATCTTCCCGAAGTCGACAATCTCCTCTTTGCGGTGGCTTTGTGGGGAAACACGAGCAGCATAACGAGTTGCAGCAGGCCAGTTGACCGACCCAACAACGGCTGCAACAGATGGAGATAGCGTATTTGATGAAGCCGGGTGGTTTACATCCGCCCCAATGAACATACAATGATCTCCACCAGTAAATCGTGGGAATCTCTCAATGAGTTCCACATTGCTGCCACCTAGCTTCGCGTTGATCTTCATACCTAAGTTGGCAAGAAACTGATCGCTCGCTTTATTGGCATGAACCGACAAGCAACATTGAGTAATCACCCCAATCTTCGTCTCAGTAACCCATTTGAGATGCTTGTATCCATCGTCTTTGCAAGCCATCACACAAACAATCATTTCCAGCCGTCCACTGTCTTTTCGACGACAGTCCTCCACGACTTGTGAAAAAAGACGATGGAGTCTATCAACATCCAAGAACTCCCTCATGGTGGTTTGATGAACAACAAGCGGATCTTTCATGTGAACCCCTAAACTTCCGCATCGGTTCACCAATTTCCCAATGAACGGGTTGACATTCAGCCTATTCCAACGATCAGCAGAACTGAAATCGATCATTGCCCACCTCTCCAGTGGTATCCCATCAACGAAACGTTTCCCCTGGAGAAGATTCCAGTGACATTTCAGTCTGTCAACTGTCGTGTTTGTTGTACCACGTGGACCACCAAGCTTCAGTATAGGCGGTGGCATCACACGACCATCGACTGCTGTCATGTCCATACCAACCCCGAATTCAAAATTCTGAATCACCTCGCCACTGCATACATATGACATTATATCAGACAGGAAACATTACTGGTACAATAAACTTAACCTATAAAGCAGTCTATTAGAACGTTTAGACATCGTACAAAAACAGTTGAAAAGGAGCAACTACGTACCCATGACTGCCAGGCCCATACTCTTCACGCATCATGCTGCATATCTCATTCCGCCGGAAATCTGGAGGAAGAAGGCACAAATCTTTTAGTTGTCGGGCAGCCTCCCGACCCAGTTGCTCCTTCGGAAACCTTCTATCCTCAGCCAAGACACAGAATTCCATCGGAACATAATTTGGCTTTTTGCCATTTCCCAATTTCAAACAAGGAATAGTCTTATGAACTATTACTTTCTCCCACTTCTCTTGGAAATAATCCGTTAGCATAACGATTTCTGGTTCTTTCTTCCCTTCGAGATCTTCTAGTTCAAAAGAGAGCTCGTTTGTGAGCTTTTCAGTCAACCCAGAAACAATGTACTTCTGGTTGGTGCGACGATGAGTCACACTCACCCTCAATCCTTCCAATGCACTCATAACTTTGTTCCTAAACCTTCCGATGTCGTTAACCACTTGAATCTCCCGAATATGCTCCTTCAGGAATTCGATAACGGGCATCCTCTTGCGAAAAGGTATGACAGAGTAATCGGTACACATTATCAACCCATTAGAAGTGACCTTTAAGCTCTGCTGAATGCCTCTAATGGCAGCAACACCACATCGAAGGTCATCATCCCTTCGATGAACTCGAGGGTACATCCCTCGGCCGACTGAAACCTTTTCCCGGAAAAGATTCGCCTTCATTACTACATCCAGTGCCTGCAGCACATCACGAGGGATCTGGAAAGCATTTCGATTCAAGAATTCTTGAAGCTTTGAGAGCCTTAACTCGCTTCCATACTTGATGGTGCATATATAAGATTTACCAAATAATTGCACATTATAGGTTCCGGCATGCAACAAGACTGCACTAAATATGTTCTTTTCACCATCGTAGGCGGTTTTTAGTAACGGGAACCGATCAGGGTAATCGGAACATAATTTTTCCTGAATCAATCGGAGGTCCGATTTGGGTATTGATTTTTTCACAGATCGACTAGAAGAGGAGGCCTCTAGCTTAACATCTACATCGTAGCGTAAGATGCTGTTCGATGAATCATACTTGACCGGAAAATGGTTAACAAGAAGACTCACCGACCTCACTGCAAGTGTACCTCGGTCAGGACGCTTAATTGGTACATAGCCATTTTCTGCATCATCCTTTGAATGTTCTACAATATCCTTTGAAGATGATACCGGAACTTCCTGAATCTGAAGATCTGAAACTAGAAAACAAACACGATGATAACATTTAGGGTAAAATGGTTGCAACTGAACACAATCTGAATCTATTAAGGCAAACATGATCGCAAATCGTTAGGATGAATGATTGGAGAACTTTGATCAGTCAATTCGAAACCCAAATACATTGATGAAATGAAACAAAATGAAACAAAATTATAAAGGGGGAGGAAATTAAGGAAACAAATCGAAACAGAGCAAGTTTTAAATCGATGGAAGGATGAAACTAAAAGCGATTTCAGAAATAGTAAAAACTTAAATCACATAAAGATCTCAAGAGTTTTTGTACATACCAGAAAGGTCGATCTGAGACGGAGGAGACTTAATTGGTTGACTAGAACCAGATACAATACGACTCCACACCCTTGCTTCTTGATTCCCACCAAAATGATCCGCATTCGGCCTTGGGTGTGTAGGAGTCCGAGAGATCTGCTGACTACCACCACCAACGGAGACTCTATGATCTCTAGCGTCTCCATACTGCTCCTGCTGTTGATTACTATAACGCTGTTGGTAATCTCTGTTTCGTCCACCACGACCACGGGGATAGTAACCACCATCAGTTCCACGCCCACCTTCGCCTCCTCTACCACCAGCTTGTACGCCACCGGAACTATAACCTCGTCCTCCAGTGTTCCGGCCGCCACGGCCACGGGTGTAGCCTGCGCCATTTCCTCCACGATTATAATTGGTCCTGCTCTGCTCCATGAATTCCAAATTGATTGACTAAAAAACTGATGTTTTGTTTGGATGGTTCGTTCGTAGATTACTTATAAGTCGGACTGGAAGACTCTGGAACGGACTGGAAGACTCCGCAGATCAAAAATAAATGACCTGAATACCCTTGTTGCTTGGTGAGCAAGGGAAACATCAACAGTGAAAGCAACATTATCTCGGAAGTTTCCTACAAAACCGCGTGGGTCCTTCAGCAGAATTTAAGAGTTCAAATCCTTTAATTAATTGAAATGTTTTATGATAAAGGTGTTTGGGATTGTTTATTTGAAACAAGTTATGTTTTTTTATAAAAGTCTTTATTAATTTATTATAAGTTAAAATGGTTTTAACTTTTTCAAAAACTTCTTATTACCGGTTTGGCATCAGTATAAGTTGTTTATCCAAACACTCAAAAGTGTTTATTACCGATGTCACATCGGAATAAGTAAATAAGTTGTTCTTATAAACAATCTCAAACACCACCTATGATCAATGTTTTAAATTAGAAAACATTCAAGATATTTATAGAATCATATATTCATGGAAAATTGAAAAAAAAATAGTTAATCAATAAATAGGGTTTTATATTGTTTATTCAATCCTTACGCAGTAGGCTTATGCATATATATAAGAATTAGTTTTATGTAAAAAAAATAAGAAAAAGAATCCCGATGCAGAAACCTTACACATATGCATGGGGATTCCTTTTTTTTTCCCCGAATACCAATCCTTATGCATACGCGTAACGATTTGCTAAAAAGTGAATTTAGATCAGAAAATGGCTAAAAATGAAACCACCTATCAGCTTTGATTATATATGTAAATTTCCGTATATTCATTAGCTTGGATGGATGGTTGAGATTAGTTTGTATGATTTGTAACAATTAGAGGTTTTGCAAATTATTAGGACTCTGGAATTAGATTCGAAGTTGAGAATAATTACATGAGGTTTAAGGATTTTAGTTTGACACAAATAGTTTGGTAACTTATTAATCTTTATTTTTTTTTACCTATTTTAATAAGTGTTGGTGATCTTAGTGTCATTAATCATTTTACTGTGATTATGATTTACGTGAAGTCGACCTGGTGATAAAACAAAAATATGTGAGTTGGAAGGTGTGGCATGCATACTCATACATGTTGGCTCTATCACCTTAGATCGTCATAAGGCAAAGTCTTAAGAGATACGCCCCCTCGGGGTCTAGTTGCAAGGACCAAGCGGTTGAGCCCTTAGCGATGATCTCCCAGATTGTTCAGCGAGTGGTGTCAAGGGGCAAAGCCTCGAAACTTGGTGGATTTTTATAAGAGGTTCACTTAGCAATTTTAAGTTTCGAAACGATCTGGTTGAAATTCAGAAGGATGGAAATTTTCTTGAGATTGTTACTGAAACTTGGTGGAAATTGCCTCAGTATAGTTCAAAGGTGGTGGATTCAAAGCCTATGAGCCTTAAACTCAGAGCTTTGATCCTTGGCTCGAATTTTCAAGTATTGAAAATCAGAGCCTTTAGACTGTGTGATCAGAGCTCTGGATATGGTGATAAGAGCATTGATCCTTGGCTCAAAATTTCCAAGTGTTGAAAATCAGAGCCTTTGGATTGTGTGATCAGAGCTTTGGATAAGGTGATCAGAGCATCTAGACTCTTTCTACTCATTGCTTCCGACTTTAAGTCAGTTGTAACTACTCTCAAATCTTCATGTTAGCGTTCTTAATCGTTGATCTCTCGTATAAATATGTAAATGAGAATTTGAGTGTATATAAGGACTCGATCTTATAGCCTTTAAGCGAAGAGTTTTCATTTGGATTATCCCAATATGAACTTCGTGATACCAAAGGCAATAAGGTCAAGTTGTTGTATTCGAAAATTGTACTTTCCACGATCCAATTGATTATCCCATCCACGTATCAAAAATTAAAATCTTTAAAGAAAATTTACGTTCATCTTTAACAGCTTTTCCATTTTGAATATGACAATATTAATTATATTATTAAATTATTCAATATCTATAATAAAATATTGTTTATGTATTATACATTTAATTTCAAAAATTCTCATTAACGAGAACAATGAATAAAAATCAGTAATCTCATTTTCCAGAATGTGAGTATGGTCTTGTGAGATTAAAGTAAAAGCGATAATTGAGGTGCAGTAGATGAAAAGTGATGACGGAAACAACAAGACCAAAAACCAAACGTATCCATCAAGGAATAAATAAATCAACGACATTGACCAATGACCATCCAACTTTTCCAATCCTTTTCCTCTAAATTATCGTCTTAAATAATGCTTTTAGCATCTTAAACAATTCTTCAAAATAAGAATTAAAAGTTAAAATCTTTTAAAATAATTACATTTATCTCCAACAGATTTTCTATTTTGAAGAATCAAATATTCATCTATTTATTAAAATATTATTTATCTCTTTAAATATTTAGTTTTAAAGTTTTTTTTATTGATGGTCGTACTTGATAATTATTTTTGGTGTATTCTCCTTGGAGAATAAACTATTATTTCTTTTACTTTGTCCATTTTAATGATAATTTTGGGATAGCTGTTAAACCAAAATATATTGACTCAGAATCCTAATAATAATGTATACAATTTAAAAAAAAAAAAAAAATCAGTAACCAACAAAAATAGAAGTTTGAATGGTGCTAACAAGTCTTGGAAACTCTTTTAAATAAATGACAAAAGTACCAAAATAGCCTTAAGTTAATGGACTTTTATTAAAGGTTGTTAGCTATAGGGAATAAAATTGAAATAAAGTTTCCACCACAATGATCAAAAGTGAAATCAGTTAAAAGAATAAACTATACTTGATAATAACCGACAACCATATGGACCAAAAATATAACTTACTCTAGTTTTTATCAACACAAATTAATAATGTATACAATTTTTTTTAAAATTAGGTTTTATAAATTAATAATAGTTTTTATAAATTATTTACGTTTTCTAAAAACTCTTTATTTTTTTATGATACAAGTGTTAAAGCGTTATATACAAATTTATTATGTATACATTTTCTTTTTAATTTTACGTAACCAATAAGAATAGAAGTTTAAATGTTATCGATAAATTCTGAAAATTTTCCAAGATAAAAATAGTAAATTATAAATATTATTCCTATAATAGAAAAAGGACCATGTTATTCAGTATAACCAATAACGTTAACGAAATACATGTTTAATTTTTGATTTTTTTTTATTTCCTTTAATTTTATGTGCGACCAAATCAAAACCCTAATTAACCTTTATCCATAACCTACTTGATGATAATTGATAACAGGGGATAAATCATCTGTAGCCTAAGATGAAAAGGGTGGGGATATTTGCACCTACCGTTGAGTAAAGGTGGGTATCATACCAAAATTTATGGAGCTGTTTATGGAATCAGAACTGATGAAACCGACGGTTCCTAGAATGAGGGAATCGGAACCGGTTATACCGATTTTTTATATTTGGGAACCAGTGTCAAAACCGCATAGAACAATTCCGATACTAGGTACCTGATGTCTAATTTTTTTTAAAAAAAATGTTATCGTTTCATATTATAAGAAAGTAATTGTTAGTCTATTACAAAATACCAGTGCAAAAAAAAAACTACAAATGATAAAAAATAAAATTAATAATTACATAAATAATTTATAGAAGCTCTTGACAAAGAAAAACGACTTACAAAGCATTTCATATCAACATCTAAGAGTAGCAAAACAACATCTTATTTCAGCAGAGCATCATTTTATAAATGGTCACAGGCTCATAGAATATGCGACTGTAAGTATAATCTTAAAAGGTAAATTAAGAATTTCAATTTTAGTTTTTTAATTATAATAAACACATAAAATATTTTTTATTAAAAAAATAGCGGGTACCCGTCAATTTCCGGTTATAGGTACCCAGTACCCGGTCCCGACAAGTACCCAACGGTTAACGGTTTCAAAAAAATGAGAACCGGAGCCGGAGCCGAAACCAATCCCGATTCCGTATTTTAGCATTTGAAACCATAACCAATCACATCGTAACCAGTTTAAGCACTGACAATTTTAAAGCGGTTCCGATTCTAAAGACAAATACCAGGTTCCGATGCTCACCCCTATTTGCACCCTGCTTACATGTCCATTCATTCCTATTTATTATTCATTATTGCGATTATACCATCATCAAATTTATTTGTATTTGATTATTTTTTATATTAATTTTCTTTTATTTAATCAAACCCTTATTATTATTATTATTATTATTATTATTATTATTATTATTATTATTATTATTATTATTATTATTATTATTATTATGTTAATTAATTTTTTATTATTTATTATTTTTGTTTCTTTGTATTAATATTCTACAATTTAAGATAAAAACAATATGTTTGTCACTTAGAAATTAGAGAAAACATCATAATTTATTTTAACCATAGTATTGATTTAGTCGAGAGGTCAAGTCTCAAGTCTTACGAGTTACGAAAAGGTTATAACGTTTTCAAGGTGTGGCTTAAAGCGGCAAATATATATATATATAATCGTCATTTTAGTAAAAGAATTCACCAGATGAAACACATACTCACTTCATGAAATACATACTCATCATGTTGTTTCACCTCATGAAATAAAACACAATTTTCATAAATATGTTATTTCACTTCATGCAATCCAAACATAAATAACATTATATGAAATCAAACACAACTTTCATCTATAATCTATCTTCACCCATGAATTCAGAAACAATTTCTGTTAAAATTATTTCACCTTATGAATTCAAACATAATTTTCTTCTATACGACATTTCACCCATGGAATCAAACAACTTCATGGAAACAAAAGCTCGTAGAAGACATTAAAATGCAGAAACTAAGCTTTTGGAATAACAAACAAATGAGTTAAATCACACTCTTTCCACGATCGAGATGGAGTAATGATTTAATTTTTGGACATCTAACGTCTGATTTTTCGATAGATATTCCGGCAACACAGTTTCATCCTTACCGTACCTTCAAATCTCCCAATACCTAATGGGCTAATGAGATCAACGATTACGAA